CACGTGTGACCACACAGGGACCAAATGACCCAAATAACCGTACCCAGATGCCTCAAATTTTTGGTTCTTTTGGTCCCCGTGTGAGTATGCCCTCACACCGCGACCCATATTCCCAAAATCGCAGGAAAAAACATGGACAGCGGGTCAATATACTTCCCAAATCTCCAATTGCATTATTCCTGTGCCCACCCCAATTGCATTGTTCCTGTGCCTATTTGTCAGCGTCCTGGGAAGCCGCGGCCACCTCTGGAGGTGACCAGGAATGCATATTTATATTTCCGAATTTTGTTTAAAAAATGGCCAAAATTCGTTCACAAAAGTTGCAAGATTCAGGCGTCAAGGGGTGAAGATGTGCGGAAGGCAAAAAAGAAAATAATAACCAAAAAAAAAATCCGCACAGTTTAGGCGTGGCGCTGTGTGACCCACAACTATTGGTAATCGGAAAGCAGTGTGACCACTGGCATGCCACAAATCCTGCTTTCCGAAATCCGCATACTTTGTGGTTTTAGGGTCGCAGTGTGACCCTGAGGGGATAGGCTCAACCCATAACCCTTCGTGTAGCTTGCCCCTGGAGGGTAGATCAAGGTGTGTATCATTCCTATTAGTTAGGTAGGTTGTGTGGGGTATATTGAGAGAACAACATAGCTGAGTTTTCTCGGAAAAAAAAAAGAAAAAAGAATACAGTACCGTGAGCACATGCAAGCGAAAAGAGAGGAAAAAACAGAGAAACGAGTATCTATGAGAGATTACGGACCAGAAACTTAGAGAGGAGCGGGACTGCCACCTTTTCGTGGTGAGCTTGGGCGTTGGCCCTGTATGCATGTTTTGCAGCGGGCAGGTTGGCAGGTATTCCAGGTTGTTGGAGTCCAAAAGTGCTGCCTTCGCTTGTAGGTACAGCACCGGGACTTCCCAGGAGGTCACCCATCCCAGTACTATTCCGGCCCACCGGCGCTTGGCTTCCGAGTTCGGATGGGATAGGGCGCATTAGCCGTGGTATGACCGTACCATGTCCCTTCTGTCCGCCGTAACCCATAAGGCCGTGCGGCCGGTGGCAGTCCTGTATATGCTGTAGAGGATTAGCCCCTAGCATTGTTCTATCCATCAGAATTGGAACTTTACAATTTTCTCATCGACCCAGCTAGGTGTGTAGTACGGTGTACCATTCACATAGAAGGACGGGGTTCTCCTCCTCCGTGTGACTTGTACTGTTTTCACCGGAATACAATGTACGGTCGTTGTTGCTGTATCTAGACTAAACGTGGCCCCCAAACACAGCTATAATGGCTGTACATTGTATTCGGGCGAAGACCGTAGTGTCTCTTGACTATCTCTTCATGAATACCTTCTATCCTAGGAAGATTGCCATGCCCGGCTGGGATGGCCTGGCTGGGCACCCGGGCCTGTCCCCCTGGCATGGGAATAAGTGGGGTCAATTTTTCCCTTTATTTCTTTTTAATGCCGGGGGGGTTTTCCGCGCATGCCCAGAGGAGCCGAAATATGGGCTCTGTTCTTTTTTTTGAGTGTTGGCTTTCAAGGGGGGCAAGGGGGGAATAAATTAGTTCTAAGGGCGCTAAAGGGGTGTAAAGGGGGGTGCCGTAGGCCTTGACCCCACTGCCTGGCGGTAGCTTGGTGCCTGGAAGCATCTGGAAGCATCTGCCAGCACAGATCGTAGCCGACGGGAATGGGCAAAGGAAAACGGACTCCACTTCCACAGCAAATATCGGCGCCTCCGCAGTTTTAGGTTACTGGATTAGGAAGACCTGCCCTTTCGGGCAAGTGTGTTTCCTTGTTTTCAGCACACCATCCAATCCCTGTGCCTCCTTTCCGCATGGGATGGCTGAGTCTAGAGGGTAGCCCCCAGGCTACCCTCTACCCTCTAGATTCAGCCACCCCGTGCGGAAAGGAGGCACAGCCATTTGATGTTGTCCTGAAAAGGCGGAGGTGGGCAGAGTAGAAACGGCCTCTGTGTGGGGTCCAGCGGAGGAGGTTGAAAATTGCTTTTACCGCCGCTAGTGTGTGGGGTCCAGGCCTTAGTCTGATTCTGTCTTTTTTTTNGAGAGAGAGTGAGAGAGAGAGAGCCCCCAATCTAACTAACTATGTGCCAACCGCCACCATCCCCACGATCAAGTGTAGTATCTGATCCGTGGTCCATTGAGACGGTTTACAGAAAAGGAAAAAAAAGCATCCACGCTAGGCGCGCGAGAAAGACAAGAGAGAGGGGGCCAGAGAGACCCCAATCTAACCAGCTACACGTGCCCCCTCCCCCCCCCATGATCAAGTGTAGTATCAATTCTGTTCAGTTTCATATGTGATCCGTTGTCCATCGAGACGTTTTATGTTAGAAAAGGGAAAAAAAAAGCTCGCGCGCGCTCAAGCGAGCGGGCGAGAGAGAGGGGGAGAGAGAGTGGTCCATCGAGATGGTTTAAGCGCGTGCGCGTAAGATGCGGGGGGGAGAGAGAGAGAGAGAGAGAGAGAGAGAGAGAGAGAGAGAGAGAGAGAGAGAGAGAGAACCCAATCGAACTAACTACGTGGCCCCCCCTGCCCCCCCCCGGAGGGGAGAGAGAGAGAGAGGTCCATAGAGATGGTTTAAGCGCGTGCGCGTAAGATGCGGGGGGGAGAGAGAGAGAGAGAGAGCTGTCTCTTATACACATCTAGATGTGTATAAGAGACAGCACACAAATCAACTTCGAATTTTACTATGGCTCCTCGACCTGATATGTTCTTTTTTTACCAAGAAGAATGGTCCGTTGCTTCTCTGGAAATCAGCAGCACAGATTGTCAGGTCTGTTACGACTAGGTCCTTACTTCTCAGATGCCAATGATGATGATAGTAGTGATGACGCTGATGATAGTGATGAAGCTCATAATGGTAATACTCAAAGCTAATGATAATGACTGTGGTACTCAAAGGTAATGATGATGTTGAAGATAGTGATGAGTCTGATGACAATGATGATGGTGATTCACAATTATATTCCTTCTGTCTTGGCTTGTTTAATCCCTCTGTGACCACAGTGATTCTTTCTGAATCAAGTGTGTAACTTGTTACATCAGAGCGCCAAGCAGATGCCTTCTTGTATCTGCTGACGAGGTGACAGAGTGCTTTCTTGTCTACAGCGATGGGCGTGATGGGATAGTGCCATGGTTGGAATAGTGCTGAATTAGCTTGTGGAGGGCGTTTCGGGTTAAAAAAACAGGACTCCTTTGCTTCTGAGCACCAGCACTCGACTGACAAGGAAGAAAAGGAGTGCGAGCGTGCTCACTGTACGGCCTTTCGTACTCAGCTCTGGACGTGATTGTCGCGATACACACACAGGGGCGGTCGTAATTGCAGTCAGAAACATCCAGAAAAATCCTGGTGTGCGTACGCCCTGAGATAAGCCGGGCAGCTCGAGGTATGGGGATTGTACGGACAGATATATGTGCGACTTTCGTGGATGGTCCTCAGGGTGAAGAAGACACAGATCGGCGCCGCACCGTGGCCAAGGGGGGGGCTGGTCTGGGAGAGAAAGGCGGTGAAGAACTTGTGGAAAGGGGTGATGAAGGTGTTGATAAGGCAGGGCCGGGTTCACCTCACCCATTTCAGATGTCGCTGGACGCAAGCTTACCTGTAATGTCTGCACCCTCCCCACCTGATTCCCTGCCGTCTTTCCTCCCTCCCTCTCGTACAAGTGAGGGCTGTGAGCCCGACGGTGCGGGTTTCGCCTTGGAAGATCTAGGTGCAATGCCGCGACGACATGCTGATGCAGCTGGCAGTGCTGCTAGTAAGAATTCATTGACACCCCCTCTTGCTAGCAGAGCTAACGGGACCGCAATCACACACCCTTCTGACCGTGGTGATGTTGATCGTGTGGATCCGACGGGTGAGGTGCTGCAGGTGGGTCAGGAGTGCAAAAGACCCGAGCAGGCAGCTGGGTCACCCTCTGTGGGCACATCATCACTGTTGTCATCCTGTATATCTGGACCCAGTCATTCTCCTCATCGCAGTTCCTTCTCATCTCCTGGCCATTCGCCCGATCAACGGCCATCGCCTTTGCCAAGACGATCGTCATCGTCTAATAATAGCCCTTCGTCTCCTGCAAAGCCCAAACGGTCACTTTTCAAATTTACATTTCCTAAGCCTGCCGGCAGCCCACAAAATGTTCCCAACTCATGTTCTCCAGGCGGAAGTTCGACAGCAACCAGTGCCGGTATTACAACAGCATCACCCAGCGCTCGGCGCGGTTCGTCGACGCTTTTCCCGGGCTCGCCGCGACCTGATGAGGGAAAAAGAGTGAGAAAAGACGATGACGGTGAAAGACATGAGAGACTAGAAGGGAGTGGAAGCTATGTGGAGGGGGTGAGCACACTTCAGCATCATGGTGGGAGGGCCACCCTGTCATCCTGTGCTATGCCAACCCACGTTGAAGCTTTGAGCACAGAGGGTTGTGACCGGGGGAGTTGCGCTAGCTTCCAGATGGCATCACCTTCCTACCCGTCTCCATCTCTTCCTCCACCTGCAGCGTCCTCCTTGTCATCATCGTCAGGAGCGGCCGTGAATCTCTTTCCGTCAATGAGGCCAAACACCGGTCTTACCAATGAGAAGATGGTGTACGAACTCTTGCACAATCCTGACTGGCAGTTACCGGCGGGCCCAGGTCGGAGCGGAGGAGGTGCTCACAGCAGCAAGCCAAACTCATCTTCAGGTTCCAATCCCGCTGAGGCGAAGTCGGATGGCAGGTCTCCAGGGGAAGGTCGCAGTAGCAAAGGTCCCGCCAAAGGGCCTGCAGGGGGCGATGGGCAGAAATTACTAATTGCTGGTTCGTTATCCGAGCTGCATGCAAGAGTTCGACAGATTATGGAGGATGCTTTCTGGGATAGTTTGCGGTTCCACTTGTTGAGCGATCCCCCTGACTTCTCGCGTGTTGTGAAACTTGTGGAGGAGATTCGCGAAGAGTTGCTAGCGCTGGCGTCAGAGCGGATGAAAGAGGAAATATGTGTTAAGATGGACACTAAGGTGTTGACTGATCGTCTGGAATCCTCAAGGCTCGATTTTGGGTATATGAGTGGTCTCCTCGACTTTGTCGCGGACTTGATGCTCAAACTGGGGGCGCCGGCAAGAGATGACGAGTCACGTTCCGAGCATCAAAGGCTTCTCCAGGAGCTTTCGGCATCAGTCAATCTGGCTGCGATTACACAGGATGGGGAATTGGAGGATGCTGTAGCTGCAGAGCAGAAAGCAGCAGCAGCGAAGAAGGCCTTCGCAGATGCTGTTGTCAATGGGTTCCGGTTTGTTTTTGATCGTTTGCAGGTAAGTAAGGGGGACAATGGTAAATGTGGGTGAGTGAGTGAGTGAGTGAAGCGAGCTAGAGGGAGAGGGGTTGAGGCTGCATTGTGGTGGGAAGTGGCATGTGCGAGGGTAGAGGAGGTTGACGGATGGCAGTGGTGCTGTTGTGCAGAGTTTTGTAAGAATTGTTCTGAAGCAAAACTTTTCGATTGTTTGCAGCAAATGTGGGCGAGGGGGTGATCTGGAGGGAGAGGGGTTGGGGCTGCATCACGGAGGGAAAGCGGCGTGTGGATGGGTAGAGAGGGTTGATAGATGACGGTGCTGTCGTGTTGAGGGAAAGTGGCGTGTGGATCATGGTAATAGTCCAAGAAATTGGACCAGAAAGATAGCTTGTGGGCATACACATGATCAGGATGCATTGTGTTCAGGAGCAGAGAACAAAATGGGTAACCTGATTAACATAACAAAAGCGTAATGGTACGCAAAGCCACTTTGAAGTGGACGTATTTATGTGCTTTGCTATTTTTCGAAATTTGGTGGAAACCTAGGCTACCAGGGTGGCCCGGGCCCACTTGCCCAGCGAGCCCAAAAAATAATTAAAATTTAAAAAGATACTAAAAATTCTAAAATACTAAAAATACTAAAATAGTAGTTTTTTTTTTTTTTTTTTTTTTTGAATTTACTAAGGAATTTTGACCTGACCCTGATGCAAAAGTTGTTGAGTTTATTTTTCCAGATTTTTTGGATATCTTTTTTGTTTTTGTTTTTTTTGGCATGGACCTTCCTTGGCCCTTGCCCGTGCGGGTGGCCTTTTTTGTTTTTGTTTTTTTTGGCATTGACCTTCCTTGGCCCTTGCCCGTGCGGGTGGCCTAGGTGACCCTGGCGGCCCGGTTCATACAAACGAGCACTAGGTGTAGTTTGAGAACTGGTCGATTTTCCAGATAGGATTCAATCATTCAAAGGAACAAAATAATAGGTGGGAGAAATAGTAAAATACTTGTGGCTTGACAATGTGATATTGCATTGGAGATTTAACGACATGATATTGATATTGTGTTGGAGATTTTTTCATGTTGTAATATTATATTTGAAAAGTTTTGATAGAGTTTTGAGGATGTGATGGGCTGGGATTGACTTCGATACAGAAAGGAGAAGAGTGATAATCATGTGGGCAGTGTTTTCAGTTTTTGCGTTCTCTATTTGTCCGCATCTGCCACAGGTCCTGAAGCTGGATATCAGTAACGATTGATATTGTGTTGGAGATGTTTTTTAATGTTGTGATATTGTATTTCGACAGAGATGAGGATGTGGTGGGCTGGTATCGACTTCCATACAGAAAGGAGGGGAGTGATAATTATGTGGGCGGTGTTTGCTGTTTTGGCCTCCTCTCTTTGTGTCCATCTGCCACAGGTCCTGAAGCTGGATATCAGTAACGCCCGGCTGAGGGCAGTGTCACGCGTGATCAACAGCGCTGCAGGCGTTGGATATCTGCGCATGCAGTTTGCTAAGCAGCATCGGCTCCAGGGCCCCGATGACGATGATGGTGGTCCCCCCTTGACTGATCGTGGCCCCCCCTTGGCGGATGGTAGAGGTTTGCCGGTGTTCGATGCAGCCCTGCTTCATCGCCAACCTAGCCCTCTCGAGTGGCGGCCGAGAAGCGATCAGAGGGAGCAAATAAGGAGCAGGCTTGTCCGCACGTGCCAGTGGATGACAGAGATTGCAGAAGAGATTGGGCGAATACGGGAGGAGGTAGATGTAGCAGTTGGGGAAATGGCCGTGCAGCAGAATAATGAATCTATCGAGCAGGAAGCAAGTGGTGCTGCCACTAGGAGCAGTATTAATAGCAATGTGCATCACGAAGGCGCTGCTCGATCATCCTCACTGACCCCTCTCAACGTTCCGGCAGCAATGCGCACAGGCGTTCGTGGGCTTGTCAAGGACCCTATGCTTGGAGCAGGTCCAGGTTCTCTGCGCGCATATACGGATTCCGTGGAAGCCGGACTGCTTGAGGCAAAGCCTGGAAGCTCCTCAGGTGGCAAAGACCCGTTGATGGAAAGCGCATCATTCAATTGGCAGTCGGTGGAGACTGTTGTGCAAGTGGGACTGGTGATGATCGTTCGACGTGCAGAGGGAGCCGAGGAAGGACGGTTGGCAGAGACTCTGCGGCTGGAGGTGGTCCGGATTCGGAACTTGCAGGATCAGTTCCAGCGTGCCCTTGTAACTGCTGCAGGGTAAAAGGACCAGTCCCACTCCAGCCCCATTCCAGTCCCACTCCAGTCCCACTCCTTCCACCGGTTTCATTCTGTTCTTGTTCTGCATCTTGTGCCGACCATTCTTGGTTACTGTGCCTTTCTTTTTTTTTTTTTCAAATGCCAAAGGTTAAGTAAGTGGGTACTGTGTCCTTCGGGACATCCGTTAAACTCGGAACGATACAGAGAAGATTAGCATGGCCCCTGCACAGCAAAACAGGCAAAAAGAGAAAAAAGAAAAAAAGAAAAAAAAGAAAAAAGAAGTGGGTACTGTGACTTGGAAGTGTAGTAGTCTACTACCTGTAGTCTCTGCTTTCTCAAGCGTTACCTCAAACCTCTGTTCAAATCCAGAATGCTCTTAGTTCCACAGGGTGAGGGTTTTGATCTTTCAGGGAAAGCAGCCCAGTCTGCCTATACAGTAGCTGCACAGGGGCTGTGAGGGAATGCCTCTTTTTTCACGTCGTCTGGCGTGCAATATATAGAGAAGTAACAAAAACTCCACGCCGGCATCACTGTATTTTGACATGGTGTAATATATTGTCACATAACTATGAACTAAATGAGCGCACTTTGTGAAACAAACAGCAAAAATAAAAAAATATAAAACCAAGACAAACATGAAGGGCACACTGAAACCATTCATTTTTCTCATTCTCCGTTTAACTCCCCCTTCACCGTGCCTCTCATGTACAAGGCTTGTCACGTTGATGAAGTTGAACGCGAGCTGCCCCCATCCCTGTGTACCATAACGGCCCACTTGTACACTGTGAGAAAGAGGCAGAGTGAAGGGGGAGGGGATAAACATAGGGAGGAGAGATGGAGAGCAGATAAACAAAGAACAATGAAGGGAAAGTAAGGAGTGTCGAGTGAAGATGAAGGCAAAAGAGGATAAGAAAAAAAAGCTCAAGAATGAGTCTGTCCTTGACAACAGAGAGGACATACATTGTAAGGATGAGGTGGATGAACATATGGAAGACCTAGCTGAGCATTCTCAGTGCAACAATTGCCACAATGGCTGGCATTGAGCATGCCCACCATACACCCCAGACAAATGGCATGTCGATTGCCGGTCAAAATGAAGGAAGAATGGTCACCACAAAAGACCATGCATTCAGTATAGTGCCCATGGCCGCAAAACGGACATATAGTGTCCGGATGCGGAGGGTGCCTGCAGTCAGGAACGGAGGGACAGTCCTCTGCACACATGGATGCAGAAACCATGTCATTGTAGTGATTGTGACAGAGACGATGGCGGCTACAGCCGAGTGTAACAGTGTTTGTGGCTGTGCAAAGGAGAAGGTCGCAAAGTGTTGGTACATTGTCTTGCTGCAGCACAGGGCCAGAGGAATGATCTTCAGCATAAAAGAGCTTGCGGATGGTTTGTTGTGGCAAGAAGACATCATCATTTTGTAAGAAATCAGTGACATTAGTCATCGCATGGACCATGGTGCCGTTGTCCCACAACTCCCAGTGGTCAGAGGCCTGTACAATGACCATGTAATGGCCACGTGCACAATGCAGGCAGAGATGTGGGACGAAGGATTAAACCACTCACATGCTCGAGCATTGCGTAGTTCAAGTTGATGGTCCCTCATTGCTATTTGTAGGACAGCAATGGTTAAGCCTCCTTCGCTGATATAATTACAATCCTTTGGCAGTAGTTGGGGAATATCAGCATGAAGATGAAGGGCGATTGCAAGGTCTGATGGTTATAAAACGGGCAGAGGAGAATGTGAAGACAAATATTAGTTGCTGTTAGACCACAAAGATTGGTGAGGTTCTCAGGCTGGTTTGTCGGATGCTGGCTAACAATTTGCAGATTACCCAGATGGTGTTGCAAGCCCAAACTGTCTTGGGTTGTTTGCTGGTCAGTGATTTGCAGATCACCCATGTGGTCTGCGCGTGGCGGAGCACAAATTGTGGTTCATTCGAACAATGCTGGTCAGCTATTTGCAGATCCCCCATGTGGTTTACGCCTTGTGGTGTCAACTGCAATCCGGGCAGATCATGTTCCAATTCCTCAACGTTTAAGGATGCATCCCTACACTATTAGAATCGCTAATGTGACAAATCTGAAATCCGGGCCGTCGTAGGTCGTACCGGCCCACGACCCAGATCCCCGAACCATGTAACAAATCTGCCATTTGGGTCATCGGGTCCTACCAGACCGATGACCTGGATAGATGGAGTCTTAAGATCTTAGGACCGCACCGAGATCCAGGCCGTCGGTTCGGACCGATGGCTCAGATAGGTGCCGCGGAGTGTCGTGGGGTACTACCCGACTCAAGTGTCGTGGGCTCAGATAGACGCGCCGCGGAGTGCCGTGGGGTACTACCGGAGTCAAGTGTCGTGGGGTCAGATAGATGCGTCGCGGAGGGGCGGGGGTACTCGGAACCGCATCGCACCATATTTTGTTGAGCTTTGCGCCTACGCGGTACTACCGGAGTGCCGTGGGGTACTACTGGAGTCGAAGTGTTGTAGGCTCAGATAGATGCGTCGCGGAGGGCCGGGGGTACTCGGAACCGCATCACGCCATATTTTGTTGAGCTATGCGCCTACGCGTGCATGCTGGGTATTGCCTCGCGCAGTGTTGTGTATGCCTTGCTTGCTATTGTCGACCTTGCTGCGCGGCACCCAACTCTGTCTCTCGCTCTTTGCTTCTCTCTTTCACTCTCGGCAGACTGTCGGGGTTCAACCTCCTGATGAGTCGATGAAAGTCCGACGAAACAGTCTGGCACAATCATGCTATTTTTTTAGCGTATAGCTCGATGGTGTGGTGACTCCTTATGAAACCGCCACAGACATTGTCCCTGTCTTCCTCTTTGCGCCGTGAGCTGTGGTGTGCAGTGGAGGAGTCGTCATTGACTGAATGCTGCTGCAACATGGAACCCTCAGGTCAGTGGCATAGCTCCCACCCCAAACCACTTCCCCCCCTCTCCCCTGTCTTCATATGCCCTCCGCTGCTCCTACGCCACTCCACTCCTCCAACCACCCTCCTCCCCCCGGCCCCCAAAACCGTTCCCCCTCCGCTCCTCCGCAACCCTATTCCGTTACACTGCCTCCCCTTCTCCCCTCCGCTCTTCCTCGGCCGCCACCTCGACTCTCTTCTCCGCCCATGCAGCCTCCGTCCTGTTTTCGGAT